CTGCAGCTCAGGCTGGGCTTAGGGACATCTTAAATCCACAAGGTATCACCTGTGGTGCCTTGATTGCCAGCTTGAGGATCCACATTCAAGATAACTGACCCATGTGTTTGGTAATTTGGTGCTATTACATGAAAGTTAGGCCAGGGGAAAAGACCAGAAGCTTTCGATCTTCTCCAAGGAAGCTTCTTCCCAAGTTCCTAATCTCCCTCATAACATGGTAGGTGGTTTCTAAGACCAAGGACCTCAGGAGAATGATATGAAGTGCATGACATCTTTCTTTTCCTAACTTTACAAGTCATGGGTCATGAGTTCTACTACACTTTGCTGATCAAAGCAGCTACAGAAGCCCAACCAGTTGCAAAGGAAAGGGATATAAACTCCAGCTCTTAACAAAGAAATGGCAAGGTATTAGTAGAGTACATGGGACGAGGACAGGAAATATTGTTGGACCCATCTTTGAAAAATACAGTCTTACAGAGTAAGTACAAAATTGAATAGGGAAATTAATACAATAAGATATATTGCTTATTACTGATGACAAAACTATGGAAAAGGGTAAGCAGTCCATATTATAGCTCTTGTGTCTCAGATAATATACAAATAGTCTAATGTATGTCTAATGTATCCCAGTTTGTAAATTCTTCTGTTCCTAAAGTAAATATATTCTTGTGACACATGACTATCCTAAGAAGATATAAGTCCATTCACTCATTTCTTTGCTTGGAAAAGCCAAATTTTAATAATGAATAAATAACCAAAGATACTGTTAAGTTCCTTTTCTAAATTTCCTTATTAAATTTTAAAGTGATACATAAAAACATAAATATCTACATATTTATGGGATACTATATAAAATTTCAATGCATGTGCATATTGTTTAATGCTAAATAAGGTTGTTACATATATCTATCTCCCCAAATATTTATCATTTATATTGAAAGTCTTAAAAATGTCACCTTCTAGCTCTCAGAAACACACAGTCCATTACTGTTGTCTGTAGTCTCTTTGCTATAGGAGGGCACATCAAGACTTCTGCTATTTAACTGTAACTTAAGATCTGGTGTTTATTGATAGGTTTTAGAGGCAACAGTGATGGTGGCGGCGATGGTGGTGGCAGTGGCCGTGCAGCAGAGAAGCAGAAATGGGGGAGGGGAAAGCCTTTACTAACTCTAAACAGGCGTAGAGGACCCAGGGCAGGGAGCTGGGTGGATCCTCTGACCTGAGACAGGGAGCCTGAGACTTTAAGGACTTTTGCCAGGGGCGGAGCTTGAGGGGCAGGTTTAGTGACGTATAAGGAGCTGATTGGAGGCTCCTGCATGTGGGCGGGAAAGGTCAAAGGAAGTTGTACCCAGGGATGGAGTGGGGAAGGAGAAGGAAATGGTCACTGAGAGGATAAGCTGTTGTTTCAGCGCTTCAGCCGTACCAGAGGACTACCATTATAATTCAGCAATTCATACTAGGCCATCGCCTATCATTTATATTTCCTCAGTCTTCCCTCGCCATTGCCCTGTCAAGTCCCTGCTGTCCGCCACTCTACTCTCAGTTTTCTATGACATCAGCTATTTTTGGCTCCACAGATTGATGAGATCGTAAGAAACTTGGGTGAAGTTCTTCTGATATTCGTTTTCATAGACCAGCATATTAAACTGGGAACCCCTTGATGGTTAGAGGAATAACTGTGAAGTCTCACATCTGCAGCTACAAAAATAGATGGCTTGGAAAAAAGTGTTTGCTAAATGTGGGAAATTTTCTTGCTCTGTATCAGGATGCTTTGAAGATACCTAAATGTTCCTTGTTTGAATAAGAAACCAGGAAGCTGGCAGTAGCTACAACTTCTCAGAAGTAACTCTTCTTGCTGTAATGAGATGATAAGGTCATGAAACACTGATGTCCACACTTCCTGATTCTCAGCCTCTGAGATAGCCATGGTATGTATCACTCCCCACCACGGCTTATACCTAAAATGCCTCCTAATGCCTCATGTTCAGAACAGATTGAGCAGATGGACTTATTTATGAATGACTTTAGCCCTTTGTGTGCTGTTAGAAAATGGGGCCTGGCTGCCCATGGAGGGGGTGTTACCTGAGGGCAGCTTCTTGCCTTTCACTCCTGCCTGAGCTCTGTTTCCCAGATTCCACAGGGTGAACAACAGTTCCCCATCTTACTCTTTCACCACGCTGGTTTTGCATTGCAGACAGCTAATTATGGACTACAGCCCTTGGAAGCTGCAAGCCAAATACTCTTGCTTGGTCTGGGTGTGGGCTTTCTGTCTCATAAACAGGACAGTGCGCTGGCTGACATGCACTCCCTTAGTAATCTCCAACCAGAACGGTACATTCTTTCTTTTAGCAAGGAGGTGTTGTCTGTTCCATAGCGGGGCCTTGAAACTTGTGCTTTGAACTATTTGAAATATTTCACTGTTGAATATTTCACTTTAGATTGTATACCTTTCAGAATTATGTCAAGTTGAAAATCATTTGGCTATCATGCATCAACTAGAGTTTTAATATTCTAAGGAGCAGCACCTCTCAGAATTAAACAACCATAATGTACTCTGGACAGAATATATTTTATCTGTAATGTTTCAATGTTGATAATAAGTCAAACCATTTAATTTGGAGTTCATAGTTAAGTTCCAAATTGGATCAACATGTTAGACAGTTTTCTCAACTTTTTAAAACCCATAACCTACCCACTTAGATCTTAAAAGTTCATGTTTTATGTAATTACAAAAGAAGGCCTTTCCAATATTAAAATTATGAAACTGGACAAAAGTGGTACGCATACCTTCACACACGTCCACATGCAGGCATATACAAACACCGGCTCTTCCTTTGTCCCCTTTATGTTATATTCACTGAGAAGCAGAAAGTGCTTTAAAGAAAAGTGGTTAACAGTCAAGTTTCACTTTAAAGTAGCTAATCCATCGTTAACCAATTGTAAATGCACTGTCAGACTTAAAGACAAAACCTGTGGGGGTTAAGCCTGTTTGGGAAAAACACTATACGAAGCATGAGCGATCACTGTGCCTGTGCACTATTGCCCACAGTTTCTGATGAAGGATTGTTTTCTTCAGGGCTCTTATGTTCCTCCACAAATAATCTCTGTTACAATGTATATCCAGGAGTCAAAGAATTGTGGGCTATTCCATTCATTTCTCTTTTTATTGCAGGTATTACAAGTAGAATAGGCCAAGGGCCGGTAAGATAGCTTAATGGACTAAGCGCCTGCTTAGGCAAGTGCGGGGACCAGAGTTCGAGCCCCAGCACCACATGCCACGGTGGCCCCACTCCTGGAGCGCAGCGACCAAGACTGGGTGTGGTGTCACATGCATGTAATCCTAGCACTGGGGAGGCTGAAAACAGGAGGATCACTATGAGTCAGAGCTGCAAAATGAGACCCTGTACCAAACACATATAAAAAATTAGAATAAACCAAATAAAGACTCTTACAGGGTCTGACTGACCCCAAAATGGCTTAGGGTTACATCTGATAAAATGTGATATTACTTACATTCTACGTTTGGCTTCTTACCCAATTGAAAAATAACAATAAACACTAACCATCAATTATAACAAAGTAAGAATCACTTTTGTGAATGTGGTTTATTGCTAGCCAAATTGGTACATTAACAAATGGAAAACTAAGATCATAAAAAAATTAACTGTTGCCTGCCAAGCGCGATCCTGTGGTGGATCCCCAATACCAAAAACAAAAAAAAAAATTCACTTAACAAAATGAACTGTTGCTAGTTCCTTTTACACCACTTTTTTTCATTAAATATTGGTTGAGTGAATCTAATTGTGATGAGATTTCAGTATAGGAGAAATAATAGAATCGGGAAAGCTCAGCATTCGTCTTTAAAATGCTTCTTATCTGTGCCTAAAACTAGAGGGGACCAGGTTGTGTCCAAACTGTAGTAAGATTCAGCCAGGGCAGAGTCAAGTCAGTTGATTTCAATGGGGTTGTTCTGCCGCAGCTTCCTGCGTTCAGAGAGCAGGGGATGGGAGCCCAGGAAATGTCACCAGAGCTCTTCACCCAGGCCGAGCCCAAGGATGCACAAATGGAAACAGAAAGGAGCCAAGATGTTGTGAGAGAAAGCTGCACTCCACGCAGTGGTGAGGTGTGGTCCACGTAGGAAACAGATGCAGCCCTGGAAGGCCTGTCCCCTTCCTGGGTCCACAGCTTCAGGATTTTGGTTAACGGAGGATCCCAGTTGAAGGACTGGAGGGCGCTAGTGTGCGTAATCAAGCGAGAGAAGAAAAACGCATTGGTAATTCTCTGTAATGACTGTCGGCAAGTCTTAGGACTTGTTTGGGAGACACTCTGTTAGTAGATGAGAGTTTTAGGAGATCGCCATACCTTTGCATGTCATTAAAAATAAAAGTATGTGTATCATTATTAATGCAATCCTGTCTGTCCTCACATATTAAAGAGAATGAAGTAAATAAAATTCTACTTGAGCAACTCTATTTGTCATGTATTAAGAGGTTAACCATTCAATGCTGTATGACCAAACATACATAAACCAAGACATTCACAGCTTACACCTAACTGATGACCCTGTCATTTCTGTGAAGAGCTCTGTCCAGGCACTGGTTTGTGACAAATGTTTGTGAATCAGTTCCAAAGATGATATCTGCTTTCCAATACACTGCAAAGGTTTTTTTTTTTTTTTTTTTTTTTTTTTTTACTTTGGGAATAAAGAAATAATAAAAGGAATTATTTTAAATGTCCTGCAAGGAAACCATGAATCATCTGAACATGTTTACTAAACAACTCAAGAACAGGAATAACAAATCACAGTGTGACACAGGTGTACGTGTTTTTAATCTTCAGTTCCTTCCCCTCAGGAACGTTAAGTTCCTTCACATATCAGTGACTGGGAACAAATTCCATGCCCATGAGCTTCTCTCCTCTTCAGGCAGCACTTTTAAAGTTAATTCTTTCCTTTTCTGGTGTCAGCCCTACTCTCAGCTGACTGACTCTGAGGTACTCACCCTTGCAGCCTCTCAATGTCTGCTTCACACAGGAGGAGCACTTCCACAAGCTGCCATCAATGGCCAAACAGTCCTGGTCCTTTGTTTGTGCTGCTGTCATATCGGCCACACAGCCCTCTCCTAACCACTGAGTGCTTCTCTGTTGCCTGAGGTTTCTGTTGTCCTGTGTGAATCACGTTTCCGTTGCTAAACACAGTACTCAAGCCCCACAATGTAAAGGTCTGACTTGTTTTGCAGGCTCCGAAGATTTAATCAGTGCTCTGCCGGCTCCAGGGTAGAAATTTGAGGGCAGAAGGAATAAAGCTGCTTACCTGTGAAGGCCAGGAAGCAGGGTCTGGAACAGCACCAGAGGGAAGGGCGAGAGACCAGACCCAGCGCCAGGCTCCACCAGCCTTGCACACATCCAGCAACGCGCTGCACAACCTGCAGAGCAGACCCGACCCGCAGGGCAGATCTCAAGCCAATTAAGCTGGTTCTCCCCACAACCACCAGTTCCCTGTGGTCTCCCTCCATACTGTGCATTATTTGTTCTTCAGTTTGAACTCGGTCATAAAGTTGTGTAGAAGGGGCGTTCCAGAGCTTTCAGATTCGAGCTTGCAGATTGTAGCCCTTTTATAGCTTAACACATTCCTCCCTTCCAAGCATCTGGCAGGCAGGTAGGTATTAAGACCTACTATTCTAAGTCATCGCTACTGAAGTATTCATGGCGAAGCACCACCAAACTTACCTGGAAGCCTCTAGAAAGGCAAAAATTGGCATCCATTTTTGGAAATAATGTGAAGCGTTTTTATAATATGCACACTGAGAAAAACTAATTATTACATCTCCAGTTATTAACTGCTAGCTGCTCTTTGGGTGAATAAAATATCAAAACAGAACATTAAAGTTGCTTAAGCAAAAAGCCTTGGCTGAAATAACACAGCAGAAGGATGCCGATTCTGCGGGGCTGCAGATGCCAGGATCCAAAGGCAGGATGTGTCAGACACGCCCGGGCCTACCTGATGGGCTCAGCTTCTCTGGTCGCAGATGAAGCTGTAGAGACCCCGAAGAGCTCCCCAACACCCAGAAATTAAAAAGGTCACTTCATGTTTTAAGTTAAAGGGAGCAGATCTTTTAGCTGGTGTGGTAGTTGGGATGCTTGGAGTAGTTTTCTGGTTAGCCAGGAAACCCTTTGGTTTTTCAGTTCTGACTGAAAACCATATACTAATGCACTTTTTCTCATCCTCACAGGGTATGTAACTCTCTTCATTGGAGATTTCTCAGTGCTTTGAGATCAAGAATTGTACCCACTGGGGCTGCTCTTCGGGAATACAGATACTGACACAGTAATGGGGCTGGGTGCAGTTCTGAACGTGTGGCAGAGTACATGCCCTGGAATTGTCCTTTTTACATAAATGGCAAATTCTTTGTGTTTAAAAAAAAAAATGAATCTAGAAAGCAGGACTCAGACTTGCCCAATCATATGAAGAAAACTTGAAACCAAGTAATATACAACCTTTGTATGGTGGCAGAATTAAGGGCCTTCACCTTTCCCTTTTATTGCTTCAAAAACTAATAAGGATGGAGAATGTAGGTATGGATCTGCACACTGCTATTTGGTAGTCTGCATCTAGGGCTGAACTTAACAGTGTCGTCTACCTGTGTGCTACCTCGGCCCATCACTGCGTCCATCAGACTCACAACCAAACTTGGAGCTCTGGAGACACTACTGTCACCATCCCAGTAAGCAAAGTAGTTCAATGTTCACAAAAAATTTTAGTCTCCTTTGGGGTATCTGAAAAGATACTACTGAGGGAGAAGAACCAATATTTATCTGATTTGCATATTTATATTTGAGCACGTTTCTAACTTACTATTGAGCATACTCCTATTCTGTCCAGAAACTGTTCCATGTGGGTAAAAATATCAGTTGTAGGAAAAAGAAAAGACGAGTAACAAAAACTAAACAGAATAGCTAAATACATCTTTATATATTTAGAATGTGGTAAGAATAAGTGATAATTAAGTTTCCAGTATTTGCACATTGTTCTAATAGTCACGCCACAAAATCTAGACCTTCAGCTTTTTAAGACAGAACACTTCCTCTTCCTGCTTCCTACAAGAACTGGCATTTCTTCCTCTCCAGGAAAGGAAAAGCAGCTGTGTTTCCACGCTGCTCGATTCTCCTGCGGGCACCACGCTCTCGGTGGCACAGGCAGGGCAGCTTCGCGTAGGAGTCGCCAGGCTGCCTTCCCCTCCTTGCTGTCCTCCAGCACACTCTGGGCTGTCTCTGAGCACAGTGAGATGGCCAGCTGAGCAAACATTCTCCACTCACACACTAAAATGTTTTAAATGTTTCCAAAATGCAGCTGAACATTCTGAGAGGCACAGTATGTTCTTCACCTATGAAAAACTTCCCATTGTCTACAGTGTATCATTTAATGCCTCAAAATCACCATTTTAAGACTTTCTTTGTACTACACCTTTTTGGTTTATAAGCCCTCAGCATAACATGCACAAGTTGGGAACAGGGAGATAGCTCAGTGGAGTAAGTGCTTGCCTGGCAAGCACAAGGTCATGACTTCCATCCCTGGTACAAGCAAAAATAAAAATAAAAAATAGCATGCACAAGCTAGGGACAACATGCTTCTTTAACACTGCTTTCTTTCACCATGTACACAGTAACTAAAATACTCATTTATTTTCTTTCTTTTTTTTTTTTTTTGGCAGAACCGGGGATTGAACTCAGGCCCTTGTGCTTTCCAGGCAAGCGCTTATTCTACTGAGCTATCTCCCCGGCCCCACTCATTTATTTTCTAATCTTTAAAACTTTACTCAACCCACAGCTCCTTGATAAGAACTTCTCTGACCATCCCCAGATATACTCTCTCACATTCTTATAAAAATTTGATCTTCCTAAGGTTACCCCAAAATAAAAGACCTCATTTTTCCACCTACTTTTATTCATTCGTCGTAGCATGGTGGCTTGAACATTTTCAAGTGTTCCCTAAGTACACAAAGGTTTGAGAAGAGCAAAGATAAAACTCTAAGTGTTGGGCCTTGTTTTATTTGTATACTCTGTGACTTGCCCTTTTTATCACCACTGTTCTATATCTTTGATTATCAAATTCTGAGAATCTTACAGAGGAAGGAACAAAACGTGGCTAAAAAACTGAATAGCTGTTAAAGGGTCAATGTTTACATCATTATTAAGGTGGGGTTTACACGTTTATCACTGCTGTTAGAATCAACCAGTGAAGTTGCTGAATAATTTGACAAAGACTAATATATTCCTTACAGCTAACAGTACCCTTTATTTGTCCTCAGGTGGGAATCGTTAGAACCACAGAGCAAGATGCACCCAAGTAGCCTTCTCCAGGTGGTGCACAATGAGCTAGATTTATTGAACGCACCGGAAAAGTTTCTCTAGGAAACCTACCGTGTTGTGTGCTGCAATCACTTCAGGCTTTGTTACTCACCAAATCCAATCCAAATTCCTCAAGTTCAAGGAAAAAAGTCAACAATATTTAGGCAAAATAAATACTTTATTGTTTTAATTTTTTTAGAAATCAGCCTTTGTGTGACATTTTAAACATTTATAAACCTTTGAGATATTGTTTCAAAAGTGTTAACATCTCAACCATTTTTGATTAAAATGTCACACCCAAAGAAACATAATAGGAACCGAAAATTATAAAAGCTAAAAGAATATTGAAAAAAAAAAGGTTACTTTACACATTTAACACACCTAAAGCCAAACAGAAACCATTTTATTTTCGTTCATAAAAAGTTTTGACCAGTTAAAAACGAATTAAAATCATCTGCCCATGAGGAGAACAAATCTAAATTAATTCCACTCTGAAAAGAGCAAAGCCAGCTTATTCATGTCTGTGCCTCCAGGTCACAGGCCCCATTATCGTGACAATGTTCTATGTAGTCTACAAGACAGAAGAGAAACACCTCCTTAAAATAAGAAGTCTGGACAATACAGAAAGTACATAGTGTTTAACATAAGGCACATTTTTCAAAAGAAAAACACTACATAAGCTATGATAAAATTACATTTATGTGGGTAAAGGAGCAAGGCTTACAGTGTAAGAACATTAAGTAGTTGCAGGTAACCTCGTGGAATTCTACCTTACTGCTATTAGTAGCCTCCTCAAGAATTAAGAGCAATTTTTATAACAGAACAGTTCGTCTTCTTGGAAGTGACACTAATCAACAGCAGAGGAGGGAAAATCATTGATTGCTTCAAGCTCTCAAAACATGAATCAGTTATTGCACAGTAAACACCTCATAGAGGTCAGTGTTGTAAGAAGCTAGTTTGAAGCAATATGTTATTTATAAGTTGGTTATGTCTAGCAATCTTCAAGTTTTATAATTAATTCTACATAGGGAATCAGTTGGAAAATATGGACATGTGAATAAATATTAGGCTTTCCAAACCGCTACAATTTTGGTAGTTGAGAGAAGAAATATGAAAGTGCCTAGGTTTCCATATATATATTTTTTAAAGATAGCAACAGAAAAATTACACACTGTACACTGTATAGAGCAGCTCAATTCTGCTGAAAGTAGCTTCTGAAAGACACATAACCCCACCAGTGTGTGTCACCAAGGACCCCGACAGGACTCCGACGGCAATGCTGACAAGACCCAGGGCAATCTGAAAGGGAGAAGGCAGCATTAACCCACTTTCAAACAGTACTGCTAACAAGGCTATAAAAGGGAGTTATGTTACCTCAGGTATATGTAAGAAAAACATGTAACATTATGACTTTAATCCATTTTACTTATTAGGCTCTCAGAAAATCATAAATAGTGCACATGTAGAAACATGATCTTTCTTGGGTTGCTACACATTTTTTCAAAGTACGTTTAAATTTTTGAGACACTGGGGATTGAGCCCAGTCTACATTTGAGCTGCATAACCAGTCTTACCCCTTGTTTTCAAAAATAGACCCTATTGTTTTATGAAAGTTAACAAAATATTTCTCCATTTTGATGGCTGAAATTACAAACATACTTTTCAAGTTAAAATTTTGTTTCTAATATTATACTGAATAGCTGCTGTTAGTGCTACTACAAGCACTGCCTTTTGGATATGTTATTCTGTTCTGCATCCACCAAGTATTATTATTAATATACAATTTATAAAATGTTATTACAACTATCAGTAAAGTAGAATTCATTTTCATAGTTAACATGAAGTTTTTTTTATAAATTATGATTGTAAATGGATTTTATGATCTATTTAAGATAAAAATAATTAGGAAAATTGCATTTAAGATTAATTCTCAAAATCTTGTCCCACAGATTGTATATCTGAAACACAGTCTCAGCCAGTGTATAAGAAATAAAAGCCAAGTCTGAAAGCCAAATACCAGGATTGATCTGCTATTTCCTCCACGGTAACGCTGTGGAGTAACTATGTGACTGGCTCCCACATCAGCAAGGGGCTGCGTGAGCATCTCACGCTGCAGATTAACATCATATACACTGCAAAAATAAAGATTTCACTAGAGAAACAAAAGTGTGTGCTAAGGAAACAAGGAACTGAAAGGCAAGCGGCACTGGGTGTGTGGTGCACACCTGTTATCCCAGGACGAGGGAGGCTGAGGCAGAGGATGGCAAGTTCAGGACAAGCTAGGCTACACAGCAAGATTTTATCTAAACAATAACAAAAAATCAAGATAAAAAAAGAGCTAATTTAGATAAAACTCAACAAATAAATTAAAAGTATTTACCTAAAGATTCTACTTAATGACTGTCTTGCTTAGAACTTGATGTTTTATTTGAAGACACTGCTGCCAAAAGTCCACTTACAATCTCCCGTCTGATTTCACCAACAATAGACTCTTTAATCTGTAATGGAAAAAGAAAAAATCAAACATTTCACAATATGAGTGACATTCATTCTTTTCTGTTTTCAGAAAAACATAAACATCACTTAATTCCTTGAATCGGTTAGACACAGTGAAAACTACAACCCCTGTGAACCTCCCTGGAACCGCAGCGAGGCCAGAGAAATCAAGCCCACCGTCCTCCAACCTGGACCAGCTCTCTGTCTGGTCCAGGGCAACTGAGCATCTAACACAGACAAAACATCACAATGGAAATGTTATTTCATAGATTTAAAGGACTTCTAGTAAATGATTTCCTGAAACAAAGTCACCCGGAAGAACTGACCCAGGTTAGGTTCATGCCGGGGCCTCTCGCTAATGCCTGCCAGCATGCAGGAGGCAGCAAGCAGCGTGCGACCTACACGAACCGAGTGCGAAGCGTCTAGGGAAGCGACATACTGCTCAAGCAAGCACATTTTACATAGAAAGAGTGAATTATTCAGTAAACTTTAAAACATGAAGCGCATCTTCAAGCCGCCTAAGATGGAAAGAGATCATTTCATCACGTCTGTCACCGGTCTTCGGTTTCAGCTAAGGAGATCATTTCATTCTGTTGCTGGGAAGGGGAAGCAGACCTAGACGTGACAATTACATCCCGAATGTCTTCCCCAGATGTCTAAAGGCCACTCACGCCAATCCCCTCCTTTCCTCTCTAATGGTATATTATCGCCTCCAAACAGCCCTTTGAGGAGGCTTTAAATGTGTGTTTCCTGAAGTAAGTGGATAATGCCTTCCCAAATTAGCACTTGAGACACAGTCAGCTTGCTTTTAAAATTTCTACACATCCACAGTTTCCTGTCAGGCTCAGTTATTTCCTAAAATGTTCCCAAGCAGACCCCAACACATCTTAATTGAAGTCTTTCCAAGAATGGCTCTGTATTAATTGGTGGTACAAAACTGGTACACAAGGAATAGACTTCTACAGTTATTCATAAACAAAATGCTCTTCAGTTACCAACCAAATGCACTGTCATATATTTAAATGAGTATAATCTTTTTATTTTATTTTCTATCAATATTTTAAAACTTTAAAAATAGCATCAAAAGTTTCTGAAGTTCACAGCACTTTAGATTCATTTTTTAAAAATACACAAAATATATGCTGATACAAACATGAAATCCAGACTATCCTGGCCACAGTACATGAGCACAAATACAGTGTATGAAAACAAACCACAGCAAATTTAAGTTTACAAGACCATAAATAGTACTCTTGCTAGTCCTGTGTCAACAAAATCTGACAATTTCATCATATTTCATTATTCAAGAAATTAGCTGGGCATGCTGGCCACACCTACAGTCTAGTGGGGACTGGGAAGGGTGTGGCAGCCACTTCAGGGGAGGCACCAGGTATTGCTGATCACATATCCCGGTGTAAATCAAGTGCTTAATAAACATTTGAAAGAAATACATAAACATATGTGTGTATACAGAGACAGAGAGAGAGAGAGAGAGAGAGAGAGAGAGAGAGAGAGAGAGAGAAAGGAAAAAAAAAAGAAATCACAAAAGAAAGAAGAGGGGGAGACAAGGAATGAAGGAAGGATGGAGGGATGGGGAAGACAGAAATAGAAGATAATAGGAACAAAAATAGAAAAGTTAAAATAATTCCCTGAATTATTCTCTTCAAAACTTCTTAAGATACATGTTAATTTATTTCATTTATACTGCTAGGTTTTGTTCACTAGAAAGTTTCATCCTTTTGTTTGTTGCATCTTTGTAATAAGTCTTTGTCTAGAAACTGTACTCTGAGCAACATTTTGGTCACTCTTTTAAGATCATAATACACAGTATATTAGCTATTGTTATTTTCTGTTATGAAATTTCACAGAATCTTTTTACATTTTCCTATAAGTTATATTACATTACAATTAAATGATTCTATAGGAAAAGGGTTTTAATTAATGACACAGCATGAACATGACAGACAGTATCAGACCCAAAAAAAGAAGGTAGAACGCCAAGTCCCTGCAGGGGAACCAGCACTACGAAGGATAAAACGCCTTCAGCAATGCTAGGGCATGTGTGTAGCTCCCAAGTCTCCCCTGCCACCGGGGCTGGCAGAAGCAGGAGTGAGAAAGCCCCCGGATGGAGGAGACAGCGCTTTTGAACAGATTCCCGCAGAAGGTCGGCTGAGGGAGCGCTGCGGTGCGTGGGGCCACGTCTGGCTCACGCTGCTCCCGAGTACCGCCGTGTGCAGCCGCTCCACAACAAAGAATGTGGAAGATTTCCTTGAACACAAGGGAAACTGTGTTTCCTCTAAGCTACGCACTTAAATCATGCCAGATGCACTGTGGTGGAATTGTGAAAGGCATAAACCAAGTCTAGCAACTTCAATAAACACGGAGCAACTTTCTAAACACAGGGCCGTCCATGTTTACTCTTTGACATTCAGGGCTGCCACATCTGCTTCTGTGGGCACGTGTTCATTCATCCTATAAAGCCAGCTTTTTATTTATGCACATGTATACATTTTTAAAATAACTACAGACAGTTTTAGGCTACTGGTCACATATATCATTGATGACTTGGGTAAATTCTAAGGGAGAATACTTTACAACACACAATCTGGGCAGAGAGGGGTACCTTTAATCTGACAAAAGCTCAGTTACCCTATGAAAATATTAGGTATCTGTTTGAAAGCCCTCTGTTCCAAAGTTCTCTTCCACAGAGGAATTCCACTGCACTAGCACACTATAAACAACAAACATGCTCTCGGAACTCTCACGCCTGGTGCCATGAGAGAACAACCCAAGGACTGGCAGACAGCTGTGTTCACGCTCCCTGAGTGAAATAAGAAAACTTCCCTGAAAATGCTTGTCTCACCTGCTAAGTCCTCATCCGCAGAGCTGTTCGCTCTGAGTTCAATCCTACTTTCTTGACTAGTAGCTTTGCTAATGGGGTCAGGGGCTCAGGACTCACTGGAAAGACAGACTAACTTTCCTGGTAGCTGATACAACCAGCTTAAAAAGTTGAATGTAGTAATACATGTATTTAAGTAAGATCAGCAATGGGAAATTAACAAAATGAAGGCTAATCTGTTCTAAATATTTTATAAACAAACTTTAACAGAAAACCACTATAACTGAACTAAGACATTATTACTACCAATTAGTTTTTATAATCACAGAACTCCAGTATTGGATCAACTGATCAGGTAGTGTGTGCTTTTAAAATACCTCAGAGTTTGTTTCTTCAGTACATCAGTATTTCTGATGCCTTGCTTGACCACCTCAGCACTGTGCTTGGTAAGCCTTTCTCTGTAATCGGCAAGAGTAAATGTTAAGCCTCACTTCCTCTAAAATATGCCAAATATCAAAGAGAGTAGTTGCTAATTAACAGGCTTAGTAATGAATTCTGAGAAATTCTCCACGCATCTGCCTCGCTGTACATGCCAGTCTAAATGTCTGCAGAGTATAAAACGCTTCCTAGCGAACACGAGGTTCTTACCAATGGCTAAGTCATTCTCCAAGACCACGCAGCATAAAGGGCCAAGGAACAACCAGCTTTTTCTGGGTGTTCTACTGGGCCAAGAATCAAGGTTCTGCTCTAAAATGGGTGCTTTATTCCTAGGACATTGCTTCCAGTGCATATCAAGCCATTACAACTCTGAACACGGGACTCACATGTGCATCAGTAAGCAGCATAAAAACAAGTTTTTGAGAGCCTTTCACGTCGAAGCAGGTTGGGGGAACAAAATTCTCACGTTTTTGAAAGTTACCTTGCAACCTACTTTCTCAACAAACGTAGGAAAGTATTTACCTGGCTCTCTGATCTGAAGGACACACACAAGCAGAGGCCTTTCTAACTGAGGAGGCTCTGCAGCTTGCTGAACACCAGTCAACAGGCAAAAATACTAACATCTGCAGGATAAATAAATGTGCACAATGAATCCCGCTGAAAAAACAGAATGTGCACTTCATGCTTACAAATGTGTAACTTCATCTACCGGAATCTTGAGGCCAACACATTCAACTGTTTTCAGCTGAAGGTAGAAACAGCTAGCAAAATGTACATAACAGACCCTACCAGTTAGCTCAGTTCTCCGCCATGAGCCTCTTCTTCACAGCTGGCACAAAAACTTCTGGAAGATTTCAGATCACTCCCCTTCTTCTGCATCACCATAATTCACAAGCTGGGACACTCCAAAGTGCAATTCCATAAGCAAATTTCAGGGTTTTTTTAAAGATGATAAAGCACATTTATTGTAGTACTTGTGTACTTCTTATCCACTTAAAATGTGTAAGCCTGTGCCTGTGCTTGATGTGCTTCCAGTGGTGTAATCAGTCAGCACGGTATTTGTAATGCCACTGAAGTTCTGAGTGCTAATGCTATTTTCCCAGTAAGACCCATGAAGTAGACGAGCTTGCGCAGCCCAGATTTTCAGGAACATAAACATCATCTTGTGTTCACAGCAAAACTGACTGCATTTACTTCTTTTTCTGGCAGTACTGGGAATCAAACTGAGGCCTTGCACATGCTAAGCAAGTAGTATACTCCACCACTGAGCTACACCCCAAACCTTTATTACTCATGTAACTCTCAAGCTACTGTCATGCAGCTATAAATAATGACCCCAGATATTCACAAACTAATCTCAGGACCCAGACCAATGGCTGAAGTAAGGGAAGATTATTGGTCTGCTACCACCATTCTTGGCCTATAACCCCTGGACCTCCTTTGTTAAGTTATGGATTGGTTCTAAAATCACTAGGTCTGTATTGCTAATTATACTGGACACACAGTTCAAAACCTGAAAAACACACTGACTGATTTCTCTGGCTCACTCTGACCTTTTCTATTCCTAAATGCTTTTTCTAGAATATTCTCTCAGAGAATGACAGTCTGAATGCTTGGGACCAGAAATGTTGTGAGATTCATAACTTTTCAGATTTCTAGAACATTTAAGAGGCTTCAAAGTTTGAGCAGACTTCATCTGAGAATCTAGAATATAAATGGGGAGGGCAGGCATGGAAAGACCCCGGGTTTGATCCCCAGCACCATAGGAATAGGGGGCAGGTGGTGGTGATGTTAAAGAACGCCAGAAATGATCCGAAACCTCAAAACCTTTTGAAGCCCTGATAAATTTTTCAATTGTCTATCTCCTTAGTGTCCATGACTTTGTGTCCTGCATGCATTTTTCTTTCACTCTGCATAGAGGATAATCAGACACGTACAATGAAGTGGCTTTCTCCAGGGGATTTGGGATTGCTGGAGACTGAATACAGCACCTCCCCCATGCTAAGCCCAGGCTCTGTACCTGAGGTATATCCTGAGCCTCTGAACTGATTTTTTTAAAAAAATTTATTTATTTATTTATTTAATGTGTGTGTGTGTGTGTGTGTGTGTGTGTGTGGCCAGCTCAGCCCACCAGGGGGCGGGGCTGGATGGCATGTGGTGCTGGGGGATTGAACTGTGGTCCCTGTGCTTTGCTTAGCTTAGCTTGTTCCAAGTAGGTGCTCTAGACCACTGAGCCATCTCACCAGCCCCTGAAGTGATTTTTTAAACGTAATGGAAAGAATGAAAGATCCCTTTTTATTTTTAATACAGGATCTCACTATGTAGTTCAGGCTGGCCTTAAATTCATGGTAATCCTGCCTCAGCCTGCTGAGTGCTGAGCTTACAATTTGTGTACTCTCATGCCTGGCTTGAAAGACCCTTATTAGTGGTTTCAGTACCTTTTGCTGAAAAGCCATGCATTATTTTGATTCTCCTTTGCTATTTTTGAGATTTCTTATGATAAAAAAACAGGATGCAAAGAAATACTCATGTAGAATTTTTTTTTTTCTTTTTATGTATTTAGTACAGGGTCTACAGGGTCTCACTACACAGATCAGACTCATAGTGACCCTCCTATTTTCAGCCTCCCAAGTGCAGGGACTACAGGTGTGCACCACCATGCCCTGTCTCATTCATCATCTCAGTGTGCCCCAGGGGTGGGGCTGGCACAGCAGGCCAGAGATGGAGCCCCAGTCCCTGCATCTGCCTAAGCAGGTGCTTTAATCTGCTGAGCTATCTGGCCGGCCCTTTTGTAGAAATTTTATGCCATGCACTAGACATGTCCTTAGGTTTTCACTAAAGGACACTGTAACATGAAAAACAAAGAGGGAATTAAACATCACAAAAGTGATCTTTAATTTAAAATTAAAGTCTCTGGAGGTCTCTCAGCCTTGTGACACATACTGTTCCTCATTAACTGAATTCAGCAGAAAAACCATTATCAGACAAAGCGTCTCGATTCTCCCCCAACTGCTGACTGACCCCTTCACATTCTGTAGCCCCTGGATAAGTGAGAGCTATGGTGAACGCTTCAGATGCTCTTGCTGTCCCCAGACAGGGGACAACTTCTTTCATACTGTATATTCAACCTCTGAACTCGAAATTTCCACCCTTCTCCACCCACCTAATCAAATAGATCAAGTTCTTTATACTTCATATAAACATTACACCATTTCTTATGTCAAATGAAATGATAAAATAACACCTAGCAGAGGTGTAAATTATAGTCGCTTACTTTTGGAAACAAGAGACCTAGAGAGACTGTCAAAATTTGATCTCCTGCAAAACATAAAATCCTTTTCACCAGTGTAAATAAGAAAAAGGCCATGACTTTACCCCAATGTCACAAACCTGCAGGATACCATTCCACATATACCTTCACTGATATGAACAAGGTAAATGGGAAAGTGAATTTGAAAGCTCCCTGAAAATGACTGTGGTGATCGGGACAACCTTATGAATGACCAATGTTCCTGCTTAGCCCCATTTCTGCACAAGCAACGTAGGCACAGACTGGACTTACCTCCCGAATGACCTGCTGCAACTCATCCTGCTCCACATTTCTCTCCATTTCCTCAGCAGCCGGCATCACGGGGAGTTTCCGACACTCTTCTTCCACATCAGAGTTAGGTCCTACAGCCCGCACGCCTTCCTCAGCCACACCAGCTTCCTCAGAACTTTCCAGCTCTGGAGGCGTCTGCACAGAGCCTGTTCTGGAAGGAGCAGTTGGTGTCAGGGCCACCGATGCCCGGAACACTTTCTTTCTTGCCACTGCCTGGCCTTTGCGTCTGCCCCCGGCCTGCGCCGGGGGCACTGCAGTTCTGCTGGCACGATGAGAGGGGCTAGAACACACGGATGACGACTCCGATGTGGCTTGGGAGAAAATGGACTCTGAGCTTTCTCCAGGAGGAATTTCAAATGCCATTTCTCCAAGTCCCAGACCCAATTCCGACTTCAGGTAGGACTGTTCCCGTATCAGTTCTGTGACCTGAAGATGAGAAAAACTTGTTCCTCTCCTTGAAGTAAGACTGACAGTTATAGTGAAGGTCAAACTCCTAGCTACGAGTACTGCCAAAAATCACAGACTTTGTAAGACATACTTGTATTTCATTTACTTAGTAACTATTTAACTTCATTTTCAATTCACCAGGTTTAAATTCTCAGTAAGTTCAAGCAATAAAAAGGATAACTAGAACATGATGAGATGAAATGCTATTTATTACCATGTAGGTATCCAAATTACTCAGAATGAAGGAACAAAGTAATTACAATATTTTGCCCTCAAATGAATCTCATTTTGCCTAAAATATAATAAAAATTAAAGTTTTATTGAAAAGGTCCTCACCTAAAAGACAGCAAGGAGAAGAGCTAGGAAATATGACAGGGGCAAGCCACATAGTTATATGTAGAAGATGGGGAAAGCAATGATCCTAAGAATCTTCAGAAGATTCTTGAATCTTGCAGTTAATTGGAATGATTGTCACCCTGACTAACTGTATATACAGACACCTGTGAACTAAGCAACTGCACTGAAGATGGTAATGTGTAATAGTAGGTTCATGCTTGGAGTGCCGGTCATTTTGGTCTTCTGAATACGGGCTGCTTGTCATGACATGCCAGTTGCTGCTGTGCTGTCTCTCAGGTAGATGATTTTTCAAAAAGAAGGGGGGGGTGAATGAAGGCAGGAGACAAGAAAAGGAATGTTGTGAGACTGTCCTGCTACAAGGTTGTATATGGTTAGATTTTTGGACTTATGTGTAAACATAAGAATTATATAATTCTTGATGCCTATTTTTAAAATGTATTTTAATTTTTTAAATATTTTTTCATCATATTCTGTAGGGACTTAAAGTTCAACATATCAATACTTGATGAAAAATACCTGTTCCATGTTATGCCTAAGATGTTTGATGTTCAGACAGATAGTGGGGTTAAGCTTAACAGCCTAGGTTGTATGGTAATAACAATAAGCTTATCTTCTGGATGGTTAACAACCTAAGTTTGCAGACCAAAATTAGAGAAAAAGAAGGGCCACAAGGAAAGCCAACATTTTGGCCCTAGCCTTCCAAGGTCAAAAAGACTCAGGATAAATGAGATCTTGTACTGTAACGTCATGTAACTCAGTAGTGTCCCAAATTTACTGATGAAGGAGATTATGGGGCCAAAGAGGAAAGTGACCGATGATGTAGAGTGTGCCTAAGGAGAGTCACATGGAGAGAAAACACTCTCTCAGGCTTTCACAGAGAGCACATTGGTCAAGCAATGGCCGTGACTCATCCACATGGCTGACACTGACAAAGGTTCTACAATCTGAGGTACAGGATCTCAGGATAAATCCTGAGGGGATTTCACTGACCTTATCAGACCCAAAAGCTACAACTCTTGTTGCATAGGTCTTGCTTTATCTTGGTCTTAACCATCCAGCAGAAAAGTACAAAAACGAAGTATAAGAAGTAAAGCATGCTGTTATGTTGAGCTATAGGGGACTCAGGTCAACAATTTCTGACACTGCCAGTCAAGCGGAAGACCCAATACTATTATGGGCTACTGGACTCTTTTAGAATATTTTGCTGAGTTAACATACCTATAATATTCAAATGGCGGAACTAAACAAAAAAGGGGATATATAAATGAATGTGCATTTTGTATCTGTGTATTCAAAATGGTTAGGATAGATATATAGTTACACTCTCTTAATGAATAGAGGGATTTGTTCTAATAGTGTTTGTAAATAGGATATCATGTCCGCATCTTGTACAGCAATTAACCACTAGGAAGAATGTATGCAATGTGTTAATTATTGAAACTGTCCTACCAATTTGATTTGAAACTGTCTCATTGCTATTTGTCTCTCAATAATATTATGGAAAAAAAAAAAAGTCCTCATCTTGGAGATTGCACTTCAAGGACCTAGGATCAAACCGGCAAAGCGCATCTCCCCTGCAGTACAAATTAAGTATTTTTCATGGTGTATCATTCTTTTAGGTCACGAAGATAAAAATCACATCTTGCATTTTGAAGTTTGCTTTCTAATGGTCTAAGATGGAAATGAACTTTCAAAGTGGCAAACTCACTCGCAACCACTTTAACTAACTTGGCAAATTCTGCATTTGACAAAAACATGCATCTGGCCCACACTGGAAAAGCTGTGCGCGTGAGATGGTACATGGTGCCATCCCCAGTGATAAAGGAGCAAGGCTTACTGGTTCCATTACGTTCAACGGAGAAGAACAGGACAAGTTATCAGCACTTCTACTGCCACACATTCCCTGAAAAGGTAAGAACAATGGACTTCATTTTCATACATGTACACACATTTCCCAAATTACAAGTGCTTTACATTAAAATGAATAGGCTACTTATTGCCCTGAAGCATTTATCTATGTCATGACAGCCACGCTCAACTATCACGGAATCTGCTCAAATGTGTCCGTGAATGAAAGCTGACA